TATATATATATATATATATATGTATATATATCTCGCGGATCTCTGTTCCGCGTCAGCTATTCACATTAATGTACAGTACAGGATTAACCATCGATAAATAAATTTCTATACACGTATCGTCAACAAGAGTTTCCTACTCGATTTCTTTCAAAAAATATCAACTTCCTATTCGTCTATGTAATTCTCGTTTACGCCTCGACAAAGGTACTCTTCTGGTGGAACAGAAACGTCACTTCGACTTTCTACAAATGTTTCTTTCTACAAACGTTTTCTACAAATGTTTCTTCTTTTCTTTTTTTTTTTCTTTCTAGTGAAAAATGAAAAATTACATTTTCTTCAATTCGGTTGGTACGTTTCTTTCGATCTCGTTCCGATCTCGTTTGACGCGCGAACGAGCTTCGCAAAGCTACGAAAATTCGCGTCTTTTGTTTTCACGAGTGATACCCGCAACGAGGTAACGTTTCGATGATTATCGATTCTGAATCACAGGGGGAACGAATTCTTGAACGCCCACGACAATTTCGCGCCATATTTATGGCCAACCAGTTCCGGTCCATGTTCCACCATTCTTCTCCATCTATCGCAGGGAAGTATGCGCGCAGAGTTATCGCGCAATTCAGGTTGTCAGGCAGTTGGAATTGAAGCAGGAGTTTCGTTGCGATTGCTGACGAACGTAGTCCTGCACGTTGAACTTCGTGTCGTCCGGGTCGTTGCTTTTTTTCGCCTTCAAGTCCCTAAAATTACAGGAAATTACTCTATCTTATCTAGAACGTTAAGCCTAATGCAAACGGGTGATCACTCGACTTTGTTCCATTTTCGCAACTTTCGCATTTTTTTCGTGCTTTCAGTAGTGGCATTGGATGGTTTCTCATTCAAAAGTTTCACTTTGCAGGATTTGTATTCATAAAATCAATTGGCTTTCTTTTGGCCAAGAGCTCTGATAAAGGAGGAGATTGTAGAGCTTTCGTAGACTCTAACTTAGCTTGCAGAATTCTGATTAAATTCTGATTAAATACTCATAAAATGTTAGAATCTATACATAAAATCCGATAATAGTTAAAAGTATCATTTACATTCCTTAAACTACTTATAAAGAATTCAAACTTGCAGGTTCGAATGTATCTACGCACCCAAGAACTGCCAATCAATACTTTTTGATTTTTCGATCGTAATTCGTAATTCTACGAAGAAATTTTTTAAGTTTACAACTTGATGCACTTTTCATGAAAAACTTGTATAATAAAACATTGTATCATAAAATTTTTTCCTATTCCCTGCACCTTAATTCTTTTGATACAAGTTTTGCACTTTACGATAGTCAAATATTCATAGTTATCGATAGTCTTAGTGTTAAAAATTTTCAATGTGCTCATGGGAATGTCTAAAACTTTCCAATCAGGTTATTGTCATTAAAAAAACGTAAGTATCTGAATAACACAATATCGCCAGTGTATATATTACCCATTACAGCTAACTACACCGTCTTAGAGTTTCATCTAATTGCATGCATCTGTTTTCCTTGTTTTTCTTTATTAGTCGAGAATGATGATCGATCGAAAATACCTAGCAACGGCCAAGAAGGCCAATTCAACGTTCAGGCCGGTTTTAGCTGAGGTTTCCATAAACGGGACTTTGTATTCTTGCGCTAATCGTTCGCCGTCTTCTCTTTTTACTACTCGTTCCGTTCCACAGTCGGACTTGTTGCCTAAAAATATTAATTTCAATCTGTTAGGCGTAGTGAACAGACTGTATGTAAATAAATTGACAATAAATTGAGATGTTCGTTTGACACGGACTGGTCTAATGGAATGGAATTAACGAGTTGATCTGGATACGCCTAACTTATCTAGATCTTGCTTAAAGATAAAGTGTATTTACGATATCGACTGGTATCATTTGATACCGAGTGGGCAAGTTCTGATCTGGCTGTTAAATATATCATCATGTTTTATTTTATTGCATTTTAAAAAAAGATCAAGAACGCAATTAATGATCTCTCGCGAGTCACTCTCTTGAAAACAAATCAATTAAGTTCCAATTATCGATAGTTAGAAATGTTTTTTGTAATAAATAGACTGCGAATCTTTGTGCGATATATTTTTATTATTTGAACAGGAATTTGCATCTCTGTGTTTTTCAATTTTCAATTTCAAAAGGAGCATCAACTAAATCATTAAATCACTATTTAATTCTTAGTTAAAGTGTTGCAATTATTATTAACAATTACATAAGTTCTAATAGAATGTTTTGATACTTAAAATTGAAAACATTCAAACGAAGAGAACAGTTTAGATTTGATAAAAATTGATGAAAATACATGCTCTTTATTTCTTTACATTTTTCCTGAAAGAAATCTCTGAAAAGATGACAAATCAATCATCCAGTTGGATTCTCGATTAACAATTTATTCGACTGTTCCATTCCATTCTTGTTAGAACATCTTTCTCTTAAACCTTCGACGACGTGTTGAATAACAGAATTCGTATCACATCGCAATATCGCGTAGAAAAATAGATATAAAAAATTCAGAAAAAGAAGAAAAATATGCTCACATAGAATTGATAATACGAGTTTATTGAATTTTAGAACCGTCTACTCATTAAAATCCGATTTATCACATCTTTATTGTTATCCTGTGATCTTCAATCAATCGAAGACTCACCCAACAGCATGATGACCACGTCCTCGTTCGCGTGTTCCCGGATTTCGCTTAGCCACGCTCTGATGTTGTCGTAACTCGTCTTGTTCGTCACGTCGTACAGCAACAAAAGAGCTGAAACCAATGACGATCGTTCTGCAATAGGCCGTCATCCCAATAGTTGATCGACACACGCGGAAACAAAAGTTTCTACATGACGTTGTCCCTGTTATTGCAATGTCCGTAAAATCTGGCAGCTCGTTTCATTGGCTTGTGAAATTTACACGCGGCTTTGTTCTTTGAAGAAACGCTGTCGCGTGAAATTTGTAGGCAAATTGTGACGCAACTTGAATGAAGTGCGTACAATACTTTTGTTCCACTCTGGGAAAATATCATTTGGTCAGAAATTTCTCGTTGTACGTATAGTTTCTCGCGAAAGTATTCGAACTTGTAGGAATTATTTTACATACAGAACATTTTAACATTTTATCGATGCTAGACTCAATGTTACGGTCATATTGATCAGGGTTTTTCATTAATTTCTTCTATGACAAACGCTCGAATACTTTCGTGACTCATATATTTTTCGAATTTCTCATAACAGTACTGTCTCGTTATAGAGTTAATAAAGTATCAATATTCTTCCATTCACTTTCTCAGAATTTTTCTTAGAATTAAATTTTACTTTCACTTGGTTGTTCCACTCTGAAATTCATCTAGATTCAATACGTCAGCATTCGTGCTCGTTCCACTTTGAATTTCCATCAGTTCCACCGCAACGCAACGAACTGAAAGTGTTTTTCCATTCGAAGGCTTGTTTTCCCTTCGACGAGTGCAACACAGCAGGTTAAAGCTCAGGCGGAGGCAAGTTCGGTCGTTCGACTAATATCTGACGATGGAGACACTATTGTCAAAGTGTCTCCGCGAGGTAATTGTTATCCATGCCTTTGAAACGTCCGACCATTGTGGGATCTCCGCTGGAAGAGGGTTTCTCCGCGCAAACAATGGCCAACCCCTTACGGACACCGCGTTTCCTTCCTCGTCTCTTTACTTATGAATTCGCTTAAGTAGCTCTCCAAAATTGACGCTCTGCTCGTTGAGTTTCGAGTCGAGCTGCTTTAGCACCACTGGCACCCCCAGAGAAAATTATTCCTCGAAAATAATACGTCCGTCGAAGTTCATTTTATTACTATTCGATCGATAAGGAGACTTGTTTACCTTTTAAAATATTATTAATACTCGAAAAATTAAAATGAACTCCCAGATATTATTCATCTACTTTTTTTTTATCTAACAACTGAAATAATCCCCCCTTTTTTTTTTCATTTCAAAACCAAGCTTGCAGAAACAGAGTATACAGAGCAGAGAAATCAAAGGTAGACTTTTATCTCGTGAAGAAATGCAATTGCGTTATTATGTATATGATGTAATATAATATTCAGTCGGTACAGAGTTCTCTCAATTTTTTGCTCTTCTATCTAGCCGGTTACGTGAAAGACTTCGTAAACATTTTGATTATCTGGAACACGTTCTTTTTATCATTTTCCTGGTATATAGCGAAACCTTTGCTAGTATAAATAGCTTCCTTGGAATAGCAAAAACTTGATAATCAACGATAATTCGCGGATAGAAACAAGTTTACTATTTTTAGATAAATTTATTCGTAGGATCGTAAAGTAAACCAGGATTAATTTTTACGAAGCTGCAGCGAATTGCAGAAAGATATTATTAGATTTCAATTGATACGTATTATGGTTGAAATTGGTCTCGCCGTGTATAGCTGATTGTGAGATTGAAGTTTCAGTAGAGACACTCGCCGAGCATTATTATTCTAATGAAATCACAAACACAGCGGAGAGAACTGCTAATTTATGCCTTACAATGAATTGTCAGTTATTGTCCCCTTATTCCTGCCTCTGAGATAAGTCTGTCCAACTAGCAATTATGCTATCTCCTTGTCTCGTGATTAGTAGATACGACGCTGTTTGTAAATGGAAGGTTGATTGCACGCACGAAACGAAAACTTGTTTGCCACGAATTATTTTAACCGTGTCTTTTAATTTAAGTGATCGTTTTTTTTTCTCCCCCCCCCCTTTTTCTGTCTGTGGCAATTAAAAGCCGCATAAAGGCTAAGAAAATACGTGCTCGTTTATGGTTGTTTATGCGTTTGTAAGAAGTTAAATACAAAGATATTTCTACACATGTCGTTTTATAAAAATAACGACTCTCGTAAGCGAATATAAATATTTTAAAGTATTCAACGAACGGAACAAATAGAAAATTACAAAATAATTAGGCGCGGATAACGTGCAATAAAATTGTTCCTAAAAATTTGAATAATAGGTGTATCACATTTGTCCTCAAAATTTCATTGTCCAACGAGACTTGAAAACCAGTTTTACCTTCGTGACGTGACAAATGATCGATGATTTCGTCGACTTGGTTGCAGGAATCTAATCTAAGATTGTAATTACCATGGGCGTCTCTGTAATAAGCGTGCGTGACGCTTCGAAATCTCTCTTGTCCGGCTGTGTCCCATATTTGAAGCTTGATTGACGTATCGTCGACGACGACCACCTTATTCTGAAACATTTGTAAATTTGTAAATTTCACTCGACGAACGATCCTCTTGTCTGTATTATTAATTTCACAACAGCGACTTGGTTCTTCTCTGTAAAAAGTAGAATTGTTTCATTCGCATTCTCGCTAAATGAAGTTCATTTTTTAGTCTGTGGCATTTCCAAAGAGAATTCAGAATATCTCACCCTAAAATCAATGCCGACGGTGGTTATATAGTTGCCAGATAGGAATCTGCCGTCTCTGAATCGTGTCAGAAGGCAGGTTTTCCCGACGCCACTATCGCCAAGTAGCATCACCTACGATCGTGTGAAGATATTCTGTGAATATGTTGATGAAATCGCGCAAATAGGCACGAAATTACAAAATTATGCGTCTTAGTTCTTCTCGAGCAAGATCCATCATTCGTAAAATTAATTTTTATATTATTGATCGGTAAGCGTTTAAATAGAGAAATTCCTTACATCAGATAGTATCGTTGAACTGTAAACGAAATTGTAGTAATTTATCAAATCAGAAATTTCAAAATTAAGCAACTTATTGCAGCTTTCAATGTTCAGCGATACCAATGATATACCAGTGATATCAATGATTTTGCTTGGGAATTTAATCTGTGATTAAATCTTTATTTAATTTAATTTAAGTACGTTCATCTAAATTAAATTAGAAATTAATAATTGGATTCTGTGTACATTTTTAGTGTCTTCAAAGTTTAATTTTTAAATCCTAGAATCACACGAAAATTCATTCGTAAAAGATATGTTGAAATTTACGAGTAAAAATTTTTACTATTTATACGTTCATCATTGCACTCTCTAATAAAAAGAAACTTAGTTCCTGTACAAGTTCTCATTCAATTTCTTTATAACGAAATGAAATGCATCAAAAAAATAAAAAGTTTCAGTTATTAATTCTAATAAATTTCTACTGTATCCAAACGCATTCACGCAACTATCTTATTCGTGGAAAAATCAGTAAACGAAGAAACGCGTAACAAGAAGTTTCAGTGATACCACAGTTGATAGATTAAAAGTAGTAGCTGACGGGAAAGTATTCTGAATATTCCAGTGAATCGATTAATAATGATTAGCAATCGCGAATGATCTAGTCAATCGTAAGTTACGGGGGAAACGTGAACTATTTTATCTCGATTAGATTGTAAAAGGTCAGACGAAAAGAAGTGAAATAAAATTAGCAATTTCTTCGAACCAGTATTGATACGAGAGTTGGTTTGCCATGAATTTTAGAACGTGTTTGCTGATCAGTTAACTCTGAAGTAACGTTTCCCCGTAAATGGCAAACTAAAATTGGAAAATCCAAATTCGGAGATTGCCTTCTTGAAGAACGAAGTTACTGAAAGTCGAAAGTTTAATTTTGATTAGAATTTCTTCTATTTTTGACCTTTTTGTTGATCGTCGATGCGTTTGAAGGCTCTCTTACTTTTCAATCATGCTTAAGGTTATGGTTACAGTGGATGTATGTTCAGGCAATTACAAATACTGTTCTTTGAAACGAATGTTTCTTGACAACTAAGAACATCGTATATAAATTTGATAGTTCTAATCAATCACCTTTTTGAAAAATGAAAAACAAAATTCAAGTGATTGTCTCTGTCGAAACTCTAACGTGCTCCGAAATTTCAATCTTCATTGTATTCGAGTATATTAAATTTCATATCGTTTGGCAATACTTTCATATATCCACAGAAGTTGAAACAAACTGTTGTAAAAATCTTTAGAGCGCTCCTGTAACCATAGCCCGAAGCGTCCATGACCAAGTTGAACCAGGCCTGAAAAGGCCCGCGTGTGTTCCCGCGATTCTCACTCTCGACAAGCAGGATCAGTTAGTGCAGTATCAGGAGAGAGGGCAGGACCTTGAAAAGGAGCTCGCCGTGTTCGGGTGGGGCCTGTTGGTCAGTGGAGTCGATGCTGCCGCGCGAGGACTGCCGCTTGGTCACACCGGTCGTCTCTTGGGCCCTGTTGAACGTGGAACTGCCAGCTTGCGAGGTAGAGGGAGTAGCTGGGGCTGGGCCCCTACCACCACCAGCGGACCCAGAGCTAGCAGACCAATCAGAAACGACTGGCCCCGTTCCACGTGGTCCGTGTCTGCTGGCGCGCTTCGTCACGCCGCGCAATTTCTCCTCCATGGTGCTCATGGGCTCCTGCTACCAGGAGCACCAATTTGCTCTTCTTCTTCTCGGCCACTCCTCGTCGCGCTCGTCGTCGTCGTCGTCGTCGTTGTCGTTGTCGTTGCCGTGGTAGTCGTCGTCGTCGTCGTTGTCGTCGTTGGCTCGCTGCTTCCTTCCTTCGGATCGCGCGGATCGCAGCCTACCTCCTCCGTCTTTCGTTATCGAGGTCAGTCAACTCCGGAGGGATCGCAGGAGACGAAGAGGGAACGCAGGAGACGGCGTTTCACCTCGCGTCTCTTCTACCTTCCGCTTCGTCCGCTCGTTCGGCGGCCGATCGACGCACGCCGAGTGAAAGTCCCGTGCCGATCGAGAAGAACCGCGGCGACCGATTGGATCGACAGACCGATCAGTGGCGCGCTCGTCCCGTTAGAGCTGGCTGCACGCGGCGCGCGATTCTTAAGACACACCTGGATTGGAGGAATTTCATGAGACGTCGCTCCTTTGAGGTTGATTTCGAGGGAATTAGTTTCACAGACGGCGATCAGGGAGAATTACGTGGTTGAACTTGGGCAAAGTTACTTTCAACCTTCAGGTTGAATGAGAGGAATTTGAAACGTTTGATAGATTGTTAGAAATCAATGGATGATGTGTAGCTGAAGGATAGCTGAAAAGATGCAATTTACGGAAGAACTGCCTCTAAGTTAACTACTCGATTCTAATTATATGAGTATTGAATTCTACGAGTATCGTCGAGAGAGATCTCTTTTCCGAGGAAGTTAGTTTAGACGTTGTTGAGTTTGGCTACATCATGATAAAGATGAGGGAGAATTAGTTTTAAATATGGTCGAACTCATGCAGTTATCTATCTCTCAATTCTCAACAGTAGATGTAACTGTTCGTGGAAGTTGGTCCATGTAACAATCTGGGTTATGAGTTAAACTGATTTTTTTGAGTTACATTTTCTGAGGAACATGTAGAGAAGAATTTTATTGGAAATAAACGAGAGAGAATTGGTCCGTGTAACGTTTCGACCCACCAAATATTGGCCAAACATGTGTAGCGAAGAGTTTTAACATTTGGCGTTTCGAAACAGCATTGCTCAAACAATGCAGGATTATATTGTAAACAGAGATTTCCAATCAATATCCCATTGAATGCTCGCAACCTAATAAATGCATTGCACGAATTACCAAAACTATGTAATTTAACCAGAAGCCAATGGAACAAGCAGAGATCATTATAGATATCTAAACTCACCAAGCGCACATTTCACG